TCTCAAGTCACAACTCTGTCTCTCTCTGTCATAGTCTGAGAAGTCAGGTGGCGAGAGGGTGAGAAGAGAAGGTGGACTTAGAAGAGGAAGAAGAAGAACTCTCTCTCTCTCTCTGTGCCCAGTACTAACATGTGAAGTTGGCGCCTTGATGCAGGTACCACGAAGATGGAGCTGGAGCGATGGCGCCACAGGTAAGTATCACTGGCCTCCGCCAGTCTCTCTCCCACTCTACGATCTACCACCTACCAGTGCCCAGCGCTGAAGACTACAGCTACAGCTATGGCGCCCAGCGCCGAAGACTACAGGTAGCGCTACTACTACTTAGCGCTGGAGACTACTGCAGCGCTCCTCCTGAGTGCTGCGGCCGAATCCTGAAGACTACTCGTGCCTACTGACACTACCTACCCGTGAAGTGCATGGGAACTTCCTATGTACTACGGGTGTGCCTCCTGAGCCTGCCGAAGGGAGGCAGGGGCTGCAGCTGCAGCTCCTGCTCAAACTCGTGAGGAACAGGCTATTTCTGGCCTGTTCCACATCCCTGTTTACGTGCCTGAGTCTTAGGGGCAGGTCGAAACAATGAGGGCCTGAAAATGGCCCTCCGTTTCAGGCTGAAAACTCTGGGTCTGAAAAGACCCAGATATAGGCTGAAACGGGGTAGGGCCTGCAGGCCCTCGTTTTTCAGCTTCCAAGCTGAAACGAATGGGGCCTGTAAGCCCTAAGTTTTAGGCTTTTAGGCTGAATGTCCGGGACGGGCCCTGCAGTGGCTACGCAGTATGCCACACCCCCCCCTCCTTGAAGAACCGAGCTTACCTGCGAGGGCGAAGCTATCTGTCCGAGGGAGGGACCACAGTCCGGGTGGGAGGGGCTGGTTGTGAAGCTTCCTGAGCTAACCTCCGCTTTTCATAATGCGCGTAGATCAGCGGTGCGGATGCTTTCAAATCTGCGCCTGRAATCCACCGAGTGTCGTCGCGATCGCATGCTTTGAATGTGACTTTGTACTGCCGCGGCTTGCTGTCGTACTTGCGATTGGAGATGACGCGGTCAACTTCCTGATGGCCATCCATAGAAGGAGAGTCCTGCGATCGTCAGTCCGGAAAGTCGTCGCTCTTGGCTGGCGTGTATGTTGCCAGCTTCGAGGCGTGGAAGACCGGATGGACCGTTAGATGCTCTGGAATGTTGATTACAAATGAAGGGTTATCGGGCTCATCGCCCACGGCTGCTGTCACCGACCAAGGTCCAAACCACTTGGGAAGCAGTTTGCGTGRAACATCCTGTTCCAGTGCAAACTCTTCCGCGGAGACCCAAACCAGATCACCGGCGCGGATGGGACATGGTACGCGACGCCTGTTGGCTTGCTGCTGCATGCGGACTTGAGCCTTTTGCATATTTGCGCGGGCTTGAGTCAGCAATTCCCTGTACTTCCG